TTGCAGATAATAAATATTAATTGAATGAATGAACCAAGTTTGTTGATTTCTGCATTTGGAGCTCTCAGCTTCCTACTCTCCTTTAAATTGGGTGGGCAGCTCTGGCTCCACTGGAAGGTTGATTCCAGATGGGTGGTGAAACCAGAAGTCTGGGGATGCCTACTGCCCCACTAAGATGGGAAATGATGTTAAGAGGGCATTATACAGGATTTTTTTTTTTTTTTGAGACAGAGTTTCACTCTTGTTGCCCAGGCTGGAGTGCAATGGCACGATCTTGGCTCCCTGCAACCTCTGCCTCCCAGGTTCAAGCAATTCTCCTGACTCAGACTCCTGAGTAGCTGGGATTACAAGCACCCACCAGCATGCCTGGCTAATTTTTTTGTAATTTTAGTAAAGATGGAGTTTCATCATATTGGCCAGGCTGGTCTTGAACTCCTGGCCTCAGGTGATCCACCCGCTTCAGCCTCCCAAAGTGCTGGGATTACAGGCATGAGCCACCATGCCTGGACTACAGAGGATCTTAATGAGGGTGATTTCAGGGTTGACACAGAAAGCTCGGCTTTCTCCATCCTGCATGGAGTGAGAAAGCATCCCTGCCTATGTGCATAGAACCATTCAGGGCTTTTGAAAACGTACTGATCTGGTCTGACCCAACAACTGACCCACTTCTCCTGCCCCTTCCCGGTCATTGCAGTAATGTTCTCAGAGCATGTGTCTCATAAGAATCTTCTGGCAAGTTCGTGTTTGTGGTCTGCTCTGAGTTGAGACCAGAGGCAGCTTGGATTTGGAATTTGCTTTCATGGCTCTTGGGAGGTGCTAAGCTCTGGTTATTTCTGAGTAACCCCAAAGGGCCCTCCACACTTGGGTGGGCTCCAATTCAGGTCATTCTCCTTCCCAGCCCTCCACTTGCAGTCCGGCAGGGGTGGGCATGAGAGAGGATGGAATTCTGGGTAAATAGTTTGCTCACAGTCAGATGGTCACCCCCACCCAATCTGATCCAGCCCTTCCTGCAGGCAAGGTCATTATCAGCAAACAGCCAGCTGCATTTCCCTCATGTGAATGCTAGAGACAGAGTTAATAAAAATCTATCTTATTAACAGCCTGACCTACCAGCATTGATCACATTAGAAATGACGCTGCACACACAGTCCCCATTATGTGCATGGCACAAGGCTCAGCAGAGCTCAAAAAGCCATTTAAATCCCTCCAGGAGTGACTCCTCCAAGGGCCTGAAACATCCCCCAAACTAATAACTCCTGACAAAGCACCGCCAGGGAAAATTCCTTGCGGATTTGAGATTTTCACTCTGTTAATCTCCTAACTCAATAAAGCAAACACTCCCTGCAGCAAATTAAATACTTTTATTAAAGGGTCCCCTCCCCGATTCTCTTTGACATGGGTATTGTGAATCCATAACCCTCTTGGAGCCTGAGTGTCTGTGTGAGGGGCTATCCCCTACTCCCCATCATTTTCTCCTGTTACTCTAAGAAGGCCAGAATCCATTATGCTGATTCTTAGATTCTCGAAACATCTGACATCTCTAGCTTCCCTGAGTAGCTCCACTGGCCTGTCAACCGAGGAAACTGCTTTCTCTTTTTTTGTGGGGGTGACAGGCCTCAAATAGCTCTGACCCAGGCACCTCTAACCTTGTAGTTTGCCTGGAGGAGGACCCAGAAAAACTGATCAGGCCATGGTGGGCTTCTTGGCCAACGGTCAAACCCTTCTTCGGACTTCACTAGGGGCTTGCTGGTCATACCTTGGACAGTTATCTGGAAACCAGATGGGATTAGCTGTAGAGAGTAGAAGAGGGTGGAGCAGAAGTCGAGAAAGCTACTCTTCTCTCACATTTTCCTGTCCCCAAGCTGGCCTTCAAGCTACTCCTCTTTAGGATCTGCCTAGAATTGGGTTCAGCCACTTTAACTTCTAGTCATTACTTTCTTTTCACTGCTGGTTGGAGCCAGGCTATCCTGAGGTCCGGATGGCCCTTCTTCCAGGACCTCCTCAGGTGCCATCTTCAGAAAGCCTGCTTTGCAGGGAAACCCACCACTTTGCAGATGGCAACTGCCAGACCCCTTAACATTTTAAGAGAAGACCCCTTCTAGAAACAGCCTCATGTACAGTTTCTCGGTTCCATCACTGGGTCTGGAGTGCAGAGGGCTTTGTGAATCCATACTCTGAGAGAATAGAGACAATGTGTTTTGCCTTTGGCAATAGTCAGGTCTCTGGGGGCCATAAGGCCCTCTTGGCAAGGGCTCCATGGGTGTGTGTGATAGGCCCTCGTGGAGGGTCTGGTCCTGGCAACCATGGCCAGGAGTTCTGGATGCAGACTCTGTCCAGGGTGTGGAGAAGGCAACCTCTCCTTCCTGGGCCTCTGAGAAGACCCTGCCCAGCTTTCCTCCTCTCTATTTGCCCACCCTGGGCAGGAAAGGCCCTCGTTCAGGGCAGGCAGTGGCTTCAGGCCCTGGCCCCTCAGAGGTGTTAAGATATAATAGCCCAGGGTGGGTCTTGGTCATTTGAAACGTCCCCCTTCCCTGTCAATCTTGGATAGGCATCCTGGGCTCTGCAGCTCTCCCCATGTATCTCTGACCCCAACAGAATTGCTTCCAGACCTATGTCCTCCCCTGGAAGTCAAAACAGTCACTGGAAGTTAGAGACAGAAAGAGAAAGGGCTGAGAAAATGATGAAGGGAAGACAAAGTCCATTATCTCTCAAGTGGGGAGTCAGAGAGACCTGGACTGGAATCCATATTCAGCTACTTACATGCTCTGAACCCTGGTGAGCTACTTGTTCCCCTTCACCTCAGTTTCCTATCTATAAAACAGGGATAATGAAAGTTTCGCCCACTCAGGGTCACTGTGCAACTTGCAAGAGACAAGCCTGTGAATCGATCAACACAGTAAGTGTTCAAAGAATGGGATCATAGGAAGAAATTCAATGGCTTCCACACAGGGACCAGGCCCAGCTGTGGGGCTGGGGATTTGTTCCTCTCTGAGGCCCACAGGGATTTATTTGCTAGTCCACCTAGTGGCCTTTCTTCCAGATACCCCTGCAGGGTACCTGGAGTGGGGAAAACCTGGGGTGTCCAAACCTGTGCCTTCTGGCTCTACACAGCAACTACCCAGGCTAGTGATGGAGATGAGCGAGGGAAGAGCCCAGGCTGTGGTTGTGGACAGCTCAGGCTCTGGCTGTCACGGTGGGCCCCATGCAGAGACAGACCTGGGCATAGTTGAGTCCATGCACTCTCAACTTGGGCATAATTGCCCCCAAGGAAGCAAAAACTGGTTCTTGGAGGAGTGAAAATATTTTAGATATTACAAGGGCTTGTGGTACTCTACAGCTACACTCGGCCTGACAAATCTTATTCCTTTTTTTTTTTTTTTTTTGAGATAGAGTCTCACTCTGTTGCCCAAGTTGGAGTGCAATGGCACAATCATGGCTCACTGCAGCCTCAACTTCCCCTGGCTCAAGTGATCTCCCACCTCATCTTTTCGAGTAGCTGAGACTACAGGTGTATGCCACCATGCCTACCTAATTTTCTATTTTGATTTTTTTTTTGTAGAGATAAGGTCTTCCTATGTTGCCCAGGCTGATCTTGAACTCGTGGGCTCAAGCAATCTCCCTGTCTTGGCCTCTCAAAGTGTTGTTGGGATTATAGGCATGAGCCACCGTGCCTAGCTCTTATTCTTTATTTCTAATGAAAGAAATTAAATTTTAATTTAATAAAGTTGATTTAAATCAAATTAAATTCTTCTCCTGGGGACAGAGTGGCATCATGTAAAGAAGGTGGAGAAACATCGGCACAGTCTGTCTTCCTGTCCGAAGGTCCTTCCTGCTGCCTCTTCCCATAGCTTTCCTTCCCCTTGGGCTCTTAGGAGCATTGGGCACTGCTGAACAGTTAAGTCCCAAGGCCCCTTTGTCCCACGCACTGGGGATATGAGCAGTGCCAACCACTCTTACCCTGCCCTTCCCTTGCCTCCTGTGGCTTCTCCGTGCGGCTCCCCTCCAGCTTCTGCTCTCCCTATATATGGAGAGCTCTCTGTTCCCCATGCTTTGCTCCATGGCTCCAACTCTGCAGCCCCAAACTCTGCCAGTTCCCTTTTCTTCGGTGCCCCACTAAGCCCTCTCCATTTGGATTTTTTTCCCACCATTCAGACTCGATGTGCCTGGCACACCTTCTCCTTCCTCCAGGAAGCCCTCACTGTCTACCTCAGCCTGCTTGGTACTTTCCCTTTTATAGCATTTAGCTTGAACCATTTTATATTAAAGAACGTCCTGGGTAAAAAAAGTGAGACCTCATTGCTACAAAAAATAAAAATAATTAGCTGGATGCAGTGGCATGTGCCCAAAGTACCAGCTACTTGGGAGGTTGAAGCAGGAGGATCGCTTGAGCCCAGGAGCTTGAGCCTGTGTGCAGTAAGCTATGATTACCCTACTGCACTGAAGCCTGGGTGACAGAATGAGACCCCATCTCTGGAAAAATGACAACGACGATGACAAGAATGCAGTTGACCCCTGAACAACATGGGTTTTGAACTGCATGGGCCCACTTACACACAGGTTTTCTTCAACCAAATGGGGTCAAAAATACAGTATTCATGGGATGCAAAACCTGCATATATGGGCCAATGTTTCATATAGGCAGTTCCACAGGGCCAACTGGGAGACTTGAATATATGTGGATTTCGGCATCAGCAGGGGGTCCTGGAATCAATGCCCTATGGATACGGAGGGACAATGGTATATGCCTTTGTATTACTCTCAGAGTTTCATGGGTGACTGTTCTGTCTTCCCACTTGAACTTTAATTTCTTTGAGGATGAAGAGAAAGTCATAAGGTTCTGTTTGCTCCTTACTTCTGGACACCAAGGAAGGCAGGTGGGAAGGTCTTTGTGGACCAGGAAGCTCTCAAGGTACAAGGCGCCCCTTCCCTCTAGGAGGGTCAGGCAAGCCCAGGCTGTGCAAGACTGAAGTGCCCACCTGCCTCATGGGGCCCCACCTTACCTGGCTGACTCCTTCCACTCCATCTGGTCTCCGTCATGCTGCAGAGTGTCCATCTCTGTGAAGAGGGTGGGGTTGGGAGCCTCATCTTCCTCCCCCAGGATGTCCTGGAGCTGCTCAGCAGCTGGGGACCCTGCAAAAGAGGGGCAGCAGGTCTGCTGAGTGTCCCATGGAAGGAAGGAGGACCACAAGGCCAGCAGAAATGGAGTAGGAGGCAAGCACAAGGGAAAAGCATTTTCTAATTCTGTAAAACTAAGTCCAGCTCCTGGGTGAAGCTGGACTCCTGTCACCATGAATCAGAGGTGGGCGAGATACTCTTTAAGATAAAAGGATGAAAATATTTAGTCTGCATTCAGATCCTGGGTCTTGTAGCTGGCAGTGAAGAATGATGGGAAATGGTCGAAGCCAGGGCAGCAGCAAGAACCAGGAACAGAACTAAAGAGAGAAGTGAGAAGCACTCTGATCCAACTTCAGCTTACCACCAGAGGGGTTCTTCTTCCCGCCAGGCCCCATACCAGCCAACTCCCAACACTGGTCTTGAAAAGGCAGTCAGCCATGCAAAAGGACAGCTTGCACACCCTTGTACCATGTGGGCCCACTTTCTTCCTGGGCAAGGTGGCAGTCCATTTCCTGAGCCTCCAGCCTGCTTTCCAACTGCCCATTGGAAGTCACTTCCTGGGTGTCTCCCAGGTACCTCAAAACTCAACATCCCTCTCCCAAACACATTTCACCTGTGTTCTTTCTCTCTTTTTCTTTCTTTTCCTTCCTTCCTTCTCTTCATTTCTCTCTCTCTCTCGTGAATGCCTACTATGTGCCAATCATTATTCTAGGTATTGGAAAATAAAGCTATGAAGAAGACCTACGTGTCCTTGCTCTCTTAAGCACGTGCTCTAGTGACAGAGACAGATAATAAACAAGTCAACAAATCCATAAATGACCATTTCAATAAGTTGTCTAAAATAAACAAAATGACCAGGGGACCTACAGTAGATATCATGGTCTCAAAAGGTCTCTCTGAGGAGGGGACACTGAAGCTGTGACTTGAAAAATGAGAACGAGCCACTCTGCAGATCTGGAGGAAGAGTGCTCTGCATGTTCCAGGCACCCTGTGGTGGAAAAGTGCTGGTGAGTGTGGTTTAGCACGTGAGCAAGGGATAGAGAGATGGCATGATGTCAAAGTGGTGACCAATGCTGTGACTAAAGGCATCCCTGCCCACCCCACTGCACAGGCTAGATACCTTGGAGTCATCTTTAACTCACCTCCTTTCCCCTTATCTTTACCCTCATATTGAAATTTTTAGGAACGCAGTCCCTCCTCACCAACCCCACTGCCCTGTCCCGATGCAATCTCTCATTCACTGTCTCCTAGGCCTCATCAGGTCTTGCCTTCCTCCAGCTTCTTTCCTCAGTTCATCATTCCCTTCTGTTCTCACTTATTTCTTCATGGACCTCTACTCTTTTCTTCATCACATCCTCCATTCTTCCCCCTTTGACTTCCCAATAAAACTAGCCAGGCAATGCCCAGACAAGAATTCACTGGCCCAGTCTCCTCTGCAGATGTGTCTGAGGGCTTGGGCGGGGGGGTAGGTGGGGTGGGGATGGCAGCACGGAGTGGTAGTGTGGTGGAACCAAATGGACTTCCAATCCAGCCAGACAAAGGTGTGATTCTCGGGGCTGCCACTTATTCACGAGTGAACTCAGTTGAGTGAGCAGGACTGCTGGGAGGAATACATCAGGTAAGAGAATGAAATGCCTGACACAGGGCTTGGAAGGTAAGAGGTGTTTAGCCCCTCACCACCAACACCCACACCCAGGCCCATAAGACCCACTGTAAGGGTTTCCCCTCAGCAGGTCTCAAGTGCAGCAACCTTCCATGCATCCTTGTCAGCACCCTTCCTGTGTCCCTTGAGGCTGTCCCTAACCTTTGCTCCTCTCTTCAAGCTTCTTGATTCATCTTCTACCCCACTTCACCAAGAAAATAAAGGCCTCCAGGCACGAAATCCATCAACATCCTTTCTTCCAACCCCTCGACTCTTTCCGATCCTTATTTCATCATCTAGTCTTTCTTCAACCTGGATCTTCAACTTCCCTCTCTCCACCCTCTTTCTCTTAGCCTAGAAACAGCTCTTCCGACCCAAGACAGCCTCCCCGACCCCGCCTGTCTCCTTAGCTCTCCTGCTTGCTTTCTTCTTTCTTTTACCCACACTTCCTAAAGTAGTGGTCTGTGCTCATGGTCTCCATCTCCTCCATGCCCAACCACTACCCGGCCTGCTGTCACTGGCGCAGCCCCCACCGCGCTAAGGACATTGACAAAGGCAGAGGTTTCAAACTGACAGTTCAAAGGTGTGTTTAATTCAGGCCTCGCAGAGTATGAAAGTTTTTGAAAGTATTGCTAAAATAAAGAATTGTAAGATTTCATACAGAAATCCAGATCTCTGACTTTTCTTGAAAAGTCAGATGTTCTGATCACTGTGCCCACGTTCCTGCTTGGCAACAATCCATGAGAGTTGATGATGGTGCCTTCTTAGGTAAGCATATACTTTTTAGTTTGCCACAGTCCCCACTACTTCTTACTAGTGTCTCATTAATCTCATTTATTGCCATGCACCCAAATTCACAACCCTTGCCCTCAGATCCCTCTTGTTATTTTAATTGTCAAACCAATAAGCTAATAAAATCAATCAAACCAACAGCACTGAGAAGCTATGGTCTGGCTTATCTCTCTGGAACTTCAGAGGTGATGATTGGTCCCTCTGAACTGAAATGTGACTTATGGCTCTTATAACAGGGCAGTTTCTTGATATTTTCCCTCTCTTTGAAGATTCTCTCTCAATATCTTCCCCTAGTTCCTCTTGCCCGGCTAACACTTAAATCTTGATCTTCCCCAGGATTCTGCTTCATCTTGTTCTCTCTTCTCTCTTCACACTCTTTCTGGGCTAGCTCATGTTGTTTGCGGTGTCATTTTATAAACGAGGTCACCCTTGTGTCCAGGCAATACACCCATGTGTACTGAACATTCCAGCCAACAACTGGACTGCTCCTTCTGGGAGCTCGGCAGCCTTCTCAGGTCACCCTCAACATATTCAAAACAGCTCTGCCTCCCTTATTCCATCAACCCAGCCCTGCTCTCCTCTGTTTTGATTAATAGCACCTCTAGCCATCTACCCATCTAGACAATGCTAGACTCATTCTTGAAGCTCCTTTTTTTTTTTTACCATTCATGTCCAAATGGACACTAAGGTCTTTCATTTGCTTCATAAACATTATTTGACTCTCTCCTTTTTTTCCAACCCATTGCCACCATCTTGGTTCTGGCTCTCATCATCTGCTCCTATCACTGCAATAGCCACTTACTGCTGCCATTGCCTTTGGTTGTCCCATTTAACCCCATTCCCTATGTAGCAGTAGAGTGTGCTTTTAAAACATTTCAGGCTGGGCGTGGTGGCTCACACCTGTAATCCCAGCACTTTGGGAGGCTGAGACGGGCGGATCACGAGGTCAGGAGATTGAGACCATCCTGGCTAACACGGTGAAACCCCGTCTCTACTAAAAATACAAAAAATTAGCTGGGCGTGGTGGTGGGCACCTGTAGTCCCAGCTACTCAGGAGGCTGAAGCAGGAGAATGGCGTGAACCTGGGAGGCAGAGCTTGCAGTAAGCCGAGATTGCACCACCGCACTCCAGCCTGGGCGACAGAGCGAGACTCTGTCTCAAAACAAAACAAAACAAAACAAAAAACCATTTCAAACATGTTCACACAATGGGCTCCTGGGAGTCATGGTTCTCTTTGAATAGCACCATAAAATACTATACATATGAGTTAGAAATCATTTTACTAGCAGAACACACTATTATCTGTACAGAGCTCAACGGACTCATGTATTTAAATGAATTTTAAATTTCTGAATTTTTCTATTACTTTTTCTTTCTTTCTTTTTTTTTTTTTGAGACAGAGTCTCACTCTTTCGCTTAGGCTGGAGTGCAGTGGCATGATCTTGGCTCACTGCAACCTCCACCACCTGGGTTCAAGTGATCCTCCCACTTCAGCCTCCAGAGTAGCTGGGAGTACTAGCTCATGTCACCACACCTGGCTAATTTTTGTATTTTCTGTAGAGACAAGGTTTCACCATGTTGCCCAGGCTAGTTTCGAAATCCTGAGCTCAAGAAATCCACCTGCTTCAGCCTCCTAAAGTGCCAGGATTAAAAGTATGAGCCACTGGGCCCAGCCTATTCCTTTAACTTACATCCTTTCCACTGTCTTATTGATTGCTGACACTTGCTAGCAGACACCAAATGTTTAAAGAAATTTTATAGACAAAAAACCAACAATTGAGAAAATAACCTTATTTTTTCTTCAAATTGAGAAAACTGTGACTGCTTGATTCTGAGGGGCCACACCAATTCTCCCTGGGATTATAAATCAGTAACTACTCTTTTAAATTTGATGTACCTTGGAGGATGGCATGAAAAAGAAAATAAAAAATAAAATAAAATAAAATAAAATGTAGATTTGATTATGTTATTCACCAGTTGAAAAACTTTCCATGTCTCTCTATTGCCTAAAGCCTAGGGGTCAGTGACATGGCTCAAACCATCCCTCGTAATCTAGCCCTAACCTGCCTTTCTAGGTTCTAGCATGTCCCTCACCCAGCCGCCCCGACCCCAGCCACAGCAGACCACACACAGTTCTCTGAAGAGTAGGGCATGCCACTCCTTGGGCCCCTGTGCCTGCCATTCCATAAGTCGGGAATCCCCTTTCCCCTTCAAGGCCAGACAAGAAGGCAAATAAATGGACGGGTCCTGGAGAGAGGAGACAGGCAGAGAGCAGGATGCAAACCAGTCCTGCCTGGGGCATTACCTGCTCCCTGGAACAGCTGAACGCTGGGGTCCCTGGCTGTCGATGCTGCCTCTGGCCCCAGCCTGCTTCTGCTGCTGCTTCCCTGGCTGCTACTTCCACAGGTCCTCTTCTTCACACAACAAACTCACTTTTGTTTCCAGTTAAGCACCAGGGGAGGCGTGGGGAGAGACAGGGGTTTGCGGGGAGAAAAAGAGAGAGAGAAAAGGAATGTGTGAAGGACTGGGGAGGTGGAGAGAGAGGCTATATGTAGAGAGAATACAGATGTGGTAAGTGTAA